ACTCAGAGCTGCATGGGAATCGCGACTTCACTTTGATATCCTGACGGCCTGGTTCAAGGATCGCTAACGTATTCCAGACACAGCCAAATAAACACCATCCGCTAAACGCCTGCCAGTGAACACCAGCATTAACGATTAAACACCACCACGAAACAACAGCGAGCAGCCACTGAACACCAGATTGCAGCCATTCAACACGAGCTGACAGCCATTAAACACCAGATAGCTGCCACAAAACACCAGTTTGCAGACACAGATTAACAACCACAGCCAATGAACATCAGCAACAGATGCGCACACACAGAAACACGGGAGCACATACACAGACGCACACAAATAATGATCTGCATACACACTGTTAACTTCAGACTATAAAGAGTTCTCCCTGCTAATATCAGAGAGCCAGAGCCACTAAACTGCTGGAAGATATTAAACACCACCTGTAACAACAACAGACAGACACATGAAAGCAAAGATGCACAATGGATTCATACAGATCATAAAACCACACGCAGACACATAGACACTCTCCGTAAATATCTGACTAAATTGAGGTGTTCACTGTTAAGATCAGACGATATAGCCGTCATTGTTAAAATCATTAGACACACAAAACATACAGAGAGACGACAAACACACACTGTGAGACGCACAAACACACACAGACACACATATGCGTAAATATAGAAAAACTCACTCGTTCACACAGCCGCTAAACACCTGCCAATAAGACACCAGCCGTAGCCACTAAACACCACACAGCCAATAAATACCAGCCAGCAGCCAATAAACACCACCATAGCCAATAAACACCAGCTTGCATACACTCAACACGAGATGGCAGCCACTAAACACCATTTAACTGCCACAAAACACCAGCTTACAGGCACAGATTAACAATCACAGTCAATGATATCAGCAACAGATGCGCACACATAGAAACACGGGATTACATACACAGACACACACAAATACAGATCTACATACACAATGTTAACATCAGGCTACATAGAGGTGTTTCCTATTTATATCAGACAGCCAGAGCCATGAAACAGCTGGAAGATATTAAACACCATCTGTTACAACAACAGACACATAAACATCAAATCAAAGATTCACGCATAGATTCATACAGATCAGAAACACATATACGCTCTCCGTAAATATCTGACCATATTGAGATGCCTCTGTTAATAACAGACGAATAGCCGTCATTGTTAAAATCATTATATAGACACACAAACAATCACACACAGCGAGACGCAAAAACACACATAATGAGACGCACAAACACACGCATATCCGCAAACATAGAAACACACAATCGATCACGGAAACGCAGACAGACACACTCCACACCAGCTAGAAGTCAACAGATGCAATTTAGCAACTAGTAACCAACTTCCGCAATCACTAAACAAAACCAGCCTCTAAACATTAGCGACCAGCCACTGAATAACAGCCACAGCGACTGAACACCAACAACAGGTGCGCACAGACAGACGCACAGAAACTCGGATACATGGGAACACATATACATACACACACACATATACAGAACTGCATACACGCTGTTAACAAAAGACTAT